TCTATCTATCTATCTATCTATCTATCTATCTATCTATCTATCTATCTATCTATCTATACATACATATAATTTTTTTTCCTCCCACTACCCTTGAGGAAGGACTCATGAGTTACAAATATCATCTTTCCCTGCAGGAATGTAAACAGTTCAACCTTGATAAGTCTCTTATGATTTCTCTTTCCTGTTTAGCTCTTCCATGTTTCACTTGAGACTTGTTTTTGAAGGTCAAATTTTCTATTCAGCACTGGTCTTTTCCACAGGAATGCTTGAAAGTCCCCTATTTCATTGAATGGCCATTTTTTATCCTGAAGGATTATACTCAATTTTGCTGGGTAGGTGACTCTAAGTTGTAGTCCTAACTCCTTTGCCTTCTGGAATATCATACTCCATGCCCTCCGGACTCTTGATGTAGAAGCTGCTAAATCTTGAGTTATCCTGATTGCGTTTCCACAGTATTTGAATTGTTTCCTTCTGGCTGCTTGCAATATCTTCTCCCTGGCCTGGGAATTCTGGAATTTGGCTACAACATTCCTAGGAGTTTTCCTTTGGGGATCTCTTTCAGGAGGTGATCGGTGGATTCTTTCCATTTCTATTTTGCCCTCTGGTTCTAAAATATCAGGGCAGTTTTCCTTGATAATTTCTTGAAAGTTGATGTCTAGGCTCTTTTTTTGATCATGGCTTTCAGATAGTCTAATAATTTTTAAGTTCTCTCTCCTGGATCTATTTTCCAGGTCAGTTGTTTTTCCAATGAGATATTTCACATTCTCTTCTATTTTTTCATTCCTTTGGATTAGTGTTACAGTGCCTTAATTTCTCAAATTGTCCCTAGTTTCCAATTTCTCCATTCTAATTTTTTGTTTGCTTTTTTTCTTTTTAGGCAATTGGGGTTAAGTGACTTGCCCAGGGTCACACAGTTAGTAAGTGTCAAGTGTTTGGTCTGAGGCCAGGTTTGAACTCAGGTCCTCCTGACTTCAGGGCCAGTGCTCTATCCACTGCACCACCTAGCTGCCCCTCTCGATTCTAATTTTTAAGGAAGTATTTTCTTCAGTAAGCTTTTGGACTTCCTTTTCCATTTGGCCAATTTTGCTTTTTAGGGTATTCTTCTCCTCATTGGCTTTTTGGACCTCCTTTGCCATTTGGGTTAGGCTATTTTTTAAGATGTTATTTTCTTCAGTATTTTTTTTGGGTCTTCTTTAGCATCACTCTCAGTTTTTCCTCTACTTCTCTTACTTGCTTCTCAAAATCCTTTTTGAGCTCTTCCATGGCCTGGGACCAATTCACATTTTTCTTGGAGGCTTTGCATGTGGGAGCTTTGGCTTCATTGTCTTCTTCTGGTTGTATGTTTTGATCTTCTTTGTCATCAAAGTAAGATAATATAGTCTGACTCTTTTTGCGCTGTTTGCTCATGATCTCAGCCAATTACTTGAGTTATAGAGTCTTTGTTAAGGTAGGAGTCTGTTTCCAGTGTGGAGAATGTACTGTCCCAAGCTTCAAGGGTTTTGTGCAGCTGTTTTCAGAGATACTTGTAGGGACCTGTAACTTTTCAGTTCTTCCAGGGTGCTATGATCAAGGGTGAAGTATTTACTCCTTTTCTGGCCTGTGCTCTGGTCTATGAGTGACCAAAATCACTCTTTTCTGTCTTGGAACTGAGAGGAGGATTCTCTCTCCACTGCCACTACAAGCTCCACCATGCCAGTGTTCCTTCTCGCCCCAGGACCGCCACCCAGAGCTGTGACCCAGATCCAAGCACAGGCAAAGCAAAAGAATCCTACACCAGCAAAGAGATCCCTGCAATCCCCCTCTGATCAGTCACTCACTTTCCCTCAGTCTGTGGGCCAGAAGCTCTACACTCAGGGACTGGGGCTGGGACTGAGCTTCTGTCTCACCACAGACAAACTTTTCCTATTGACCTTCTAAGTTGTCTTTGGCGTTTGTGGGTTGAGAAGTCTGGAAACTGCCACAGCTGCCCATGATTCAGTCCGCTGAGGCCTGCTTCTGGTTCGCTGAGGCCTGCTCTGCCTGTGTGCCGATGATGAACTGTGCTCTTTTCCTGCCCGGCGTGATATACCTTTCCGATCAACCATCCAGGTTGTCTTGGGCTGGAAATTTGTTTCACTGTTTTTTTGTGCGTTCTGCTTTAGAATTTGTTTAGAGCCATTTTTTTACAGATATTTGGAGGGGTTTGGGAGAGAGCTCAAGCAAGTCACTGCTTTTACTTTGCCATCTTGGCTCCACCCCTCCCCCTTTTCTTTCAAAGGCTCAGTTACTCATATATTTTACTTAATTGTTTGTATAGAAATAGAGGCTGCTTCTAGGGGTAGGAAAATTGTAAAGATTTTCCTATGCTGCTTTTGTTTTTAAAATTGTTGCTATTGTTGTTTTTTGCTATGAACCTGTTCTTTTTGGTAATCCATGGAGATACCAGATAGGCTCATAATGCAAAACCATGAGGAGATGTACCTGTTGTAATCTCAAGTCATGGGGCAGTTACATAACTAAGCCTGTTTACTTCACTGCATTGCCTTCATTCCCTGAGGCCTTGGTGCTAGGCTCTTCAACTTGTTCTTATGTCCGTTGAATGCCTGGTCTCAAAGTTTTGAAGGCCAGTGCTACATTTTCCCACTGTCAAAAACAACTGGGACATAACTTGGAGGCTGAGACCAAAATAAATCCCACTGGCTACTTGTGCACTGTCTTTTTGAAGTGTTAACTAGGTTAACTGTCTTTTATGCCCTCTGTCTTGAGCTGGCACGTGGGAACCCCATATCTTTCCACAACTGTGTGCATTTTTGCTCCTTGATGGTACTGTGTAATGCAATCACACATGCTGCTTATAATCCTCAGTCCTGAAGAGTGGTAATTATGATAATAATAGCTGATATTTATATAGGTGGTTAAGGTTTGCAAAGCACTTTACATACATTATCTCATTTGATCCTCATGAAAAATCTGAGAGGTAATGTAAGTATGTTATGGGCATTGCTCTCAGACTCACTCTACACTTGAGGAAACTGAAGTCAGTGAAGATCAGTGACTTTTTTTTCTTGTGGTCATAAAGCTATTAAGTGTCAAAGGCAGGATTTGGACCCTCTCTCCTGACTCCCAAATCCTGTGGTTTTTCTGCTACCCCATGCTTCCTCTCTGTAATCATAATTGTTATTTATAGTACACTGTAAGGTTCCCAAAGTGCTTTTTTAAAATTTATTTTTCATTTATAGTTATTCAGCAAACACCTTCAGGATTAAAACAATTCTATGGGATAGGTTCAACTGGCATTATCTTTATTTTACAGCTGAGGAAACTGAGTCTCAGTGATATTAAGTGACTTGAAACCAGGTCTGCTTGACCATGTCTCTTGCTCTTTTCCCTCTACAGCAGGGGTTTTTTTTTACTAACTATATTTCAGTAGAATTGATTTCCTTTGCAATCCTATAAGCTATATTTCATGCATTTAAAAATATGATTCAGAGAAGGGGTTCATAGGTGTTACCAAATTGCCAAAGGGGTCCATGACAAAGAAGAGGTTCAGAACTATGCCCTGTTACGCTGTGCTGGCCCATGAGAGCATGCTACTAAGCCACAAACACTTGTTTAAAATCCCTTAACTGGTTGGTTGTATATCACTGAATATCTGACATTGGATCCTTTACAGGTTGGG